ACCAGTTAACTGAGGTCACACAGGGTGTTCTCACAGGGCCAGGCCTCTCCTCTCAAGGCCTACAGCACATCCTGTTGGCTCTGGTGGGATTCTACTCGCCTGACAATTTACTTGGAACGGGGATACTTAGAAGAACCCAAGGCTAAGAGGGTCAGAGCAGTCTTCTCTCTCCCTTCCCCCACCCCCTTGCTAGAGCTAAATGAAAAGACTCATTGTCCCATGGAGAGGAGAAACATTGTTAAAACAAAGTCAAAGCTGTTGTGTTTTTTAAAAAATATTCTTTCCATGCCCCTGAATGCTTCACGGAATCTGTTCAGATTGAATTAACCTCTGTTTCCCTGCACAACAATCCTCCTATGCCCATACGTGAAAGGAACTGTTTCTCAAGCATCAGTCCATTTCCCAGCTAGAAGCGGCTCCTGTTCTTCAAGTGCTTGCAGCTAGCTGTAAGTGCTCAACTGAGCAACATTATCAACGTGGGTTCCAGGCCCTGACCTTGTGTTTTCTTGTCTCACTGCATTGCATTTTTTTTTTTAAGTCTACCTTGCCTATATTAATGCTGACTACTGGTTTTATGTTGGCATGTATACAATATTCTTTCCCCCATTCCTTTAGTTTCTTTTAAACAGCTTTTTTGAAGTATAACTTACATACCAATAAAATTCATCATTTTTAGGGGACAATTTGATGAGTTCTGACAAATGCATACAGCTGTATAACCTCCACCATAATCATGATATAAACACTTCTATCGTGCTCCGCCTCCAAATTTCCCTCATGTCCCTTTGTAGCTGATCTTCTTTTCCCACCCCCACGCCCTGGAATCACGGATCTACCTTCTGTCACCTAGTGTTGCTCTTTATTGAAGGTCACAGAAATAGAATCGTTCAGATTATAATCTTTTGTGTCTGGCTGCTTTCACTCAGTATAATTATTTTAAGATTCAACCTTTAATTGCTGAGTAGTATTCCATTGTGTGGATGTACCGCAGTTTATTAATCCATTCATCAACATGTGGACGTTTGGGTTGTATCCTGTTTTTAGCTTTTATAAATAAAGCTCCTAGGACCATCTGAGTATGTCTTTGTGTGGATGTGTTTTCATATCTTCTGCGTAAATTCCGAGGAGTGAGGTTGCTGGTAGCAAGATGAAACATCTCAGTCTGTCCAGGACTGAGGAGTTTTCCAGGATGCAGGACTTTCATTGCTAAAACATCGACAGTTCTGGGTAAACCAGGACAGTTGGTCACTTGTGCTGTGTCATTTGGCAAGTGTACATTGAACTTTATGAGTAACTGACAATTTGTTGTCCAGAGCCTCTGCACCATTTTGCATTCTTACCAGCAATGTATTAGGGTTTCAGTTTCTTCACATCTTCACCAGTACTTGGTTATAGCCATCTTTTTAATTTTAGTTTTTCTAGTGGATTTGTCATGGAATCTTATTGTGGTTTTGATTTGCATTTTTATAATGGCTAAGAATGTTGAACATCTCTTCATATGATTATTTGTCATCCAGTTATCTTCTTTGCTGGTGTGACTGTTCAAATATTTCACATATTTTCAGATGGGTTGTCTTCTTACTGAGTTTATAAGAGTTTATATAGTCGGATATAAATAACAGATCAGAACTGTGTCGATCCTTTCTACCAGTTTGTGACTGACCATGCCATTGCATTTAAAAGGAAAGTTTTAAATACTTTCAGATATTAGCATTATTTTTAAATTATATATTTGTATGTCATTATTCTATTATACTGGTCATAAATAAGCATAAAAGTTAAGTTGATGTGTGTGTTAAATGGTTTAATATGACAAAATGAACAATGTGTACTTCATATTAATTGGTTTGATTGCATAATAAGAACAACAAGTAGCTTACTGAGCACTTCCTATGTGCCATTCACTGTTCTGTGTGCTTTATGTATAGGACTGATTCAATCCATACAACAACCAGGTCTGTTTCTTATCCCCACTTTAAAGATGAGGAGACTAAGGCACAGAGAGGATAAGAGCAACCTGCTCAGTGTTAGACACCTAGAAGTGCTTGGTTCTGTGTTTTCTTTTTTCTTTTTCCTTTTTTTAAGTAAGCTGCATGCCGAACGTGGGGCTCGAACTCACCACCCTGAGATCAAGAGTCTCATGCTCTGGGCGCCTGGGTGGCTCAGTTGGTTAAGCGACTGCCTTCGGCTCAGGTCACGATCCTGGAGTCCTGGGATCGAGTCCCGCATCGGGCTCCCTGCTCGACGGGGAGTCTGCTCCTCCCTCTGACCCTCCCCCCTCTCATGTGCTCTCTCTCCCTTTCAAATAAATAAAATCTTAAAAAAAAAAAAGAGTCTCCTGCTCTACTGACCGAGCCAGCCAGGAGCCCCAAGTTCTGTTTATTTTTCACGCCTTCCCCTTCCCCTATTCCCCTTTTAGTTAGTGATGGTGACCTGAAAACACAAACACTTCTTGAAATCAGCAGGAAACCCAAGCACATGAAATGGTATTGTTTTTTGAAAATGATACTCACCCACCACATCATGTTCCAAATGTTTGGATTTAAATGCAAATATGTCAGGTTGCAAGTGGGCTTAGAGAACATGTTGTATACATTTTGAAATAAATAAAGGGGGACTTTGTATTTTCTTAGTTCGGAGGAAGGAGAAAGCAGTAAAATAATAAATCACATATACTTATAAAGTCATTTAAAATGTGATAAATACCCAGGAAGCTTGAAAATAAATAATAAGTTTAAGACCAGAGAAAGAGGCGAACTCTTCTAAGTGTTCTTCCTTTTCTCAGAAGGAATCTCACAGTTAAAGCTATGAAAAAGGGCCAATCTAATTAGTGAAGAATTTAATTTATTTAAAAAGTTGGGGGCAGTAGTTATCAGTAATGAGCCGATATGCTCTGGAGTTTCGCCACTTTATCAGCTGTATAACCTTAGGTAAATTACCTACCTTCTCTGAGTTACTGTTAGAATTAAATGACTTAATACATTTAAAGCATTTGGCCCGGTGCCTGGCACATAGTAAGTGCTGTACAAACATTTGCTATTTTTAATAGAATTTTAATGCATACGGAAAAGTGAGTTAGCTCTATACAACAAGTGTGAAAAACTGTGGACTTTGAAGTTTGACAGCCGGGGTTTATCTCCAGGTCAATTCCTGAAAGCAATTTGCTGAACAAACAATTCACTAATTACTGAGTATTTTTTTTTTTTTTTAAGTTTTGGGAAATGGTCTTTGCCCTGGCCCTACCCTGTTCCTGCCTCTGACGGCAAAACAGCTATGCCCTTTCATGAATTGTCTTCTGGGATTTGACTTGCAGCTAATTGGGTTTTCTGCTAATCAATGAATTGGTAAATTGGCCTGCTTACCCTGGGTTTGAATCCCTACTTTGCTACTTAGTTTAGCTGTTTGACCGTGATCAAGTTACTGAGCTGCTCTGAGCCTCCGTTTCCTCATCTCTAAAGAGCAGAAGGAATCATTTTGATTTCTGCAAGGTGGGTATGAGGATTAAATGAAGCTGCCAAGCACAAGATAAGGACTTAGTAAGGATGTTACATGCATGTGATGTTACTTAAATGTTGTTCCTCCTTAAATCTTCCCTCCTCCCCACCTAACTTATATAAATTAATAAATTGCGATGTTATTCATATGCATAGAAAATGGGAAAATATCTTTAAACCTAGTCTCAGGACATTGCCTTCTCCATAAGGTTTTGCCAGGCAGGACGGTCTTTTTTTTTTTTTTTTTTAAGATTTATTTATTAATTTGAGAGAGAGAAAGCGTGCGGGGGGGGAGGGGCAGAGGGAGAGGGAGAGAGAACATCTCAAGCAGACTCCATGCCCAGCACAGAGCCTGACATGGGGCTCCGTCTCATGACCCTGAGATCTTGACCTGAGCTGAAATCAAGAGTGAGATATTTAACTCACTGAGCCACCCAGGTGCCCCCAGACAGAATAGTCTTGACATCACTCGCCATGTGGCCAAGTACCTTTCTCATCCCATCTGAAGCACTGAGATAGGCCATCCTGGGAAAACCTGGTTCTGACCCTGTCACTTCCCTGCTTAGAATCCTTCTGAGCCTTGATACCAGCTATACCAATACAGAAAATGGGTAAAGGCAGTGCTGTTCTGGCAGACAGGGCTCCTCTGGTTCAAAGTCCCCTTGCTCCTGTGGATACCTGGAAGTCAGAGTTAGAATTCTTTATTCCTGCTCAACATCGGGTTTGATCTTATTCTTCTCTGGTCCCCCAGCGCCTTTGCTCATTTGCTTGTCCCCACCTCCCCAGGGGTGCCAGGCACTATGCTGAATGCTTCAGTTACATGCATTAATTCACTCAGTTAACTAATATTATCCCATATTCCCACAGGCCTCGGGAGGTTAAGTAGCTTGGCCAAGGTCATACGCAGTGAGTTTCAGGGTCAGGATTCAAAGGCAGGAAGTTTGGGCCAGAGTCCAAGCCCTTAACTACTGCACCCTGTGCCTCTTAAGAGACATGTGAGGGAGGCAGGAAGGCAGGGAGGCTGGGAGGCTCACTATGTGACGTTACCTTGTATCAGCTGGGAATTTATATATTTTACTTTGTGCCATATGCTATTACTAGACTGAAGGAATAGTGTTACTTGGAATCTTCAGATATGATTTTTTTCCTTTTTCAAATCCAAGATATAGAATATGATTATAGACAATAGATAAAAAATAACTAAGGAGAAACTTGAGGATAGATCTTTTCTTCCCCATCAAGTTTTCCATTCAGTCTCACAGAGACCAAAGTGACGAAAAATTTTAATATGCATGCCCTGCTCAGAGTATCCAAGAACCTACCAAAGGAAGTTCCTTGAGTTCTTAAGGATCAAACATATAAGTGACATTTTAAGGACAAGGGGCATGTTTGATACTGAAAAGGTGGCACAGCGGGTCTGCAGCGCCCAGAGTTCAAGGAGACCTGGAAATCTCACCCTGCTCCCTTTTCCCGTTGTGTCTGTCACAGCCTTCCCCTCTTCCTCTTCTCGAAGATGGAAAAGATGCTGGTGGGCTGCTTTCTGTTGGTCCTCGGACAGATCCTTCTTCTCCTTCCCACTGAGGCCAGGGAGCGGCCTCCCTGGAGGTCCATCTCCAGAGGGAGACACGCTCGGACCCACCCCCAGATGGCCCTCCTGGGTGAGTGTTGGGGGCTCTGCCTCCGAAGCAAGCAGGAAGAGGTGGTTAAGGGTGGACCTCCGGTCAGGGGATGGACACATGTCAGTCGGGAAGCTCTCTTATCCCTCAGTCTCCTGTTGGGTTTTGGGGGGGATGGGGTGGGGTGGGGTGGGGGAGGGAATGGATCTCATCGGCAATGAGTGCATGGGGTTTTCAAAATGAAATTGAAACCCTTCTATTTCAGAGGCTTCCATTTAATCTGAGGCTCATGACTTTTCTCCAATACGCAAGGAAAAAATCTGAAAAGGTCCTGGTTGTACTTCTCTGAGCAGGGGTGTTATGAGAGTTTTTCATTGGATTTGTCCAGCTAATCTGTGTTAATAACGCTTCCCTGCATGGCAGCATGGGGAAAAGAGCAGGCAGTTTTGCGGAAGGTGGGAGCAGCCTCAGACGAGAGGTGGGGATACTGTGAGTGGAATCAAGATATCAGGAATAGAAAATATCGGGGTTCTCTTATGAACATGTTTTCTTCAGGTGAATTTTTCTTTTTCTCCAAGAGAAAGGAAAGATCGTAAAAACACACAGACTATGGATACATGCATCTGGTTGTAAATATAGGCTCTGGTAAGCCCAGGATGTGGAGGTAATAGGAAGGTTGTCCAGTGGAAAGAGAATAGGTTTTGGCATAGACCTGTGTTCACGTCCTGGGTCTGGTACTTACATGTGTATACTTAGGCAGTGCAGTCTCTCTGGGGTTCAGTTTCCCCATCCATAAAATGGGAATGTTCATGCTGACCTTGGAGTATTTTTTGTGAGGAGAAAATAAGTTAATAAATGTAAACTATAGGTATGCAGTGAATGATAGCTTTACAACAACTGTTGTTCTGTGAAGTTCTCTGAAACCGTGTTTTATAGCTTGTTGGCCAGGTGACAGAGTCTGACCCCCTATGAAGGCCATTGAAAGAACTGCCCAATTGCCTGGTCGCCTCAGCATTCAAAATTACAATCAGAGACCAGGGGAACTCCAAACACTCTGTTCTGAGAGGTTGGAATCTTTACTGATGTTCACTAAATGATGGCCCCCCGTGATCCTGGGCCTTCCATGTCTTTAGTCTTCTGAGAATCTGTTCCCATAGTGACATCAGCATAAGACTTTTGCAAATGTGGCAAGGACTGGGGCATGTTTACTACACTGATTGAAGGGCTTTTTACAAACAAATTTCAAGATGAAAAACGTGTATATATATATATATATATGTATGTATACACACACAGAGGGAGAGAGGGAACTTAAAATGCATGATTCCTATAGCACCAGCCGCGATTGCACAGTTGGGTTTCTGATGGGGCTTTCAGAATGAGCCCCCCCACACTTAGCTGGAAAAGCATACTCCTCTTGGCTCTAAATACCTACACCCCCCCCGCACACACCGTGACTTCCCTATGTCAGCATTCACTGCCCTCTCCATCGCCCCAAGCTCAAGCTCTGAAGTAGAAACCCCTTGTCTTCTGAAATCAGCCCCACACCCAGTATTGCATCCTGTTCCTCATTTTGCCAGAGAATGTGCCAGAGACAAGGAGGAGGAGGGAACATGGCGCATCTCCCCGCCCCGGAGAATGGCCAGTGGCCGCCCCCGGACGTGCTAGACGGCTGCTGGACTCGTGAATGTGGTTGAGTGAGAATCGTGAAACCGGAAGGCAAACGCCACAACTTTCTGGCCTGGATTCTCACGTGCCATCTGCTTTTGGTCTTCCTCTGACAGGGAACAAAGATGCAGAAGCCACATTCCCTGCAGTCCTTGCCCTGGTCCTGTGATTTTCTCTTCATTCTTAGAATACGGTGTCTTCCGTGTTATGGGTGTTCGCTTTTTTCGGCTTGTTGTTTTCGATGTTCTAAACATTGCCCAGGCGCGTTTCACTTTTGTGGCACATCATTGTGGCTGTAGTTAAGGGACGCCCTGCATGACTTATTTCACTAGTTACTTGCCAGGGTGTCAGAAACAGAGAAACAGAATTGTTTCTTAGGTTGATTCTTCGTTTGAATTTTCTGATTTTTTAAAAAAAGTTTCTATTTCATGTCTGAAGTCAAGTCAGAGTTCCAGTAACAACTTGAGCCAGTTAAAAAAAATAAAGCATGTATTTATCTGCCCTGCCTATGAGTGTTTGCAGGCTGCTCAGGTGGTAGTCAGTGGTGATGTGTGTCCACGTGCGCTTCTCTCCTACTTCATTCATTCATCTGGAGTTTCTGCTGTGGGGCAGATATTGGGGGTTCAGGAAGCGCATGTGTACTGGGGGGAGACAGATATGGAAAAGGATCAGTAATTTGGTGGAATTGACGTGCAACAGAAGCAACAGAAGCTAGGTTCAGCTCCACTCTGCCTGTTGTACACTCAATGTAAGGCAGTGGGTCTCAGACACTTGGGTCTCAGGATCCCTTTACAGTGAAAAGTTATTGAGGATCTCAAAGAGTTTTTGTTTTTGTGGGTCTTCCCGACATCAAAGATCTGTTGATGGGTCAAATATTGAAATGGACAACTTAAAACAGTATTACCTAATGAATGAATGAATGAATTAAAAAATAACAATAATAAACCCACAACATAACCCGTAACATAAATACAAATATTTGTATAAAAAATGACCTTTTCTAAGTTAAAAAAAGAACGGCACTGTTCTACATCTTTACAGATCTTTTTCATGTCTGGCTTAATCGAAGACAGTTGGATTCTTACCTTGTCCGTTCAGTCTGTCATGAAATGTTGTTTTGGTTGGACTACATGAAGAAAATATGGCCTCCCCCAGATACATAGTCTGAAAAAGGAAAAGCATTTTAATAGCCTTTTCATATAATTGTGGATATTTTTCTTTGAGATGACACCAAAACTTGACAAATGATAGTTTCTTAAAGGTTAGTTGCACTGTGGAAACAAAAACTGCATCAATAAACTTTTCATGCTCTATGTACTCATGAGAAAATAAGAATATAAGAAAAGCAGACATTCGTGCTATTATGGATGTAGTCCTGACCCCATAGGCCCTTTGAAGGGATCTCAGGGACCCTCAGGGATCCCTAGACCACACTTTGAAAACAGCTGGTTTCGGGCTGCATTCCTAGTGAAGGCAGAGACCCTCCCTGAGGGACGAGCGGGAAAGAGTGAGGCTGGCGTGTCAGGTGGAACCTGGTCAGGCATTGGGGGGCCGGCATGCCCGTGAGGCGGGTGGTCTGAGCTGGAGACAAGCCTGGAGGAGGGAACCAAATCGCTGAGGGCCAGGGGCTCTGCAGCTCTGACATAGAGTTTGGGCTTCATTTGGCAGGGGTGGGAACCCCTGGGGGACTTGAGGCAGGCATCAATCACATCAGTAGTGGTCCCTGCTGACCCTCTGTCCATTCACTGTGCCATCTGGACAGCCTCAACCTTCCTGGGCTGTGGCAAAGGGCAGCGAGAGCCTCGATGTGCAGGCCACCAGGACAGTGAAGGAGCCCATTCTCCGGCCCCAAGTCCCTTCCAGGCATCCATGCTAGCTGGTGGACTTGGAGCTGCAGGGTGTGCTGTTCTCAGAGCCGAAGCCCGTGAAAGCCTCCAGATTCATCCCTCTGTACTCATTCTTTATCAGTGGTGCGCATTCCCTCCCAAACTCCCAACTCCTCCTTGGGCTGCCTTCAAGGTGGGGCTCACCAGAAGTCATGTCGCCTCCAGCCCTGATTACTGTCTGCTTTGCTTGTACACAGTTTTTCTCTTTACTCTATCACTGCCACAGGGTGGGGGTGGAGCTGTTGCCAGGGCAACCGGTGGACTCCTCTCAGCCTTTTGGAAACCTTAACCCTCTTGCCCAAATTCCCACAGTCCTTGACTCCCCTCGCCCCAAGAACAAGAGTCCGCAAAGGGTCTACACGTCCGTGGGCTGGCTCTCCCTGTTTTGTTTGCCTTTTACAAGGTCTTGTTGACATGTGCGTTCTTTTCTAACTTTACCAAGCTCGCTCATTTTATTTCTACTAACCTCAAAACCTTTTCCCTTCCCTGTAGCAGATGCCCCTTGGGATCAATAGTATCCACACAGAATTCATGTTTGCATTTTGAGAGAGAGTGTTTTCAGTGGGAGGTAGAGATTTTATTTTATTTATTTTATTTTTTTAAAGATTTTATTTATTTATTTCATAGAGAGAGATAGTGAGAGAGGGAACACAAGCAGGGGGAGTGGGAGAGGGAGAAGCAGGCCTCCGGCCGAGCGGGGAGCCTGATGTGGGGCTCGATCCCAGGACCCTGGGATCAACACCTGAGCCGAAGGCAGACACTTAACGACTGAGCCACCCAGGCGCCCTGGGAGGTAGAGGTTTTAAAGGAGGCTAGCCCCATAGTATGGTTAAGGGATTGGGGGGGGGCTGAACTCCCTCTCCCCCCCACCCCCCTGCCCCCACCAACACATACTCTGCTAAGGAAAATTCCAGAGGTGTTCAGGGCTACAAACAGTGAAATTTCTTCACAACAGTTAATTTACTACTTAAAAATAAAGCTAATGAAGACAATCTAAGAACTCACTGTATTATAGCCCCAAGTTCTGTTCCTTGGCAATCACAGTACTTATGAGGGTCTTATTTCCATTCTTGCATACAGTTCTAATGAAATCTGACATCGAAATATTAGCAAAAATGCAATGTGTTTCATATAAGGACCTGAAACCTCCTAAATTAGCAAAGTGACCGAAGGAATGGGCCAGCCAAGAGAATTAAGTGTAAGAATGTCCTACTCTCTGTTGATAATTATTAACCTTTTCAAGTGTTGGCTGCCAGTAAATGAATTTCCACATCCTAAAACAATTCTCCTAATTGACATGCGTTGGCACCCTCAGTGAGGAAGGAACAGCAGATGCCAGAGGCCATCAGAGTTTCTGGCTCCTGGAGTGACAGACCTATTGAGGCCACATGTTTTATATGCCCTGGAGCCACCTTATCAAATTTTGAACCTTTGTCTCCTTCCCTGAGCTTTCAGGGGGCTTTGTTCACCCTCCTTCTTCTACCTGGA